CTGTAGTTTGTCTTGCAATATATTCAAGTTACATTTAAATCTCAGTCTGTAGTATGTCCTGCAATATATTCAAGTTGTATTTAAATCTCAGTCAGTAGTATGTCCTGCAATATATTCAAGTTGTATATAAATCTCAGTCAGTAGTATGTCCTGCAATATATTCAAGTTGTATATAAATCTCAGTCAGTAGTATGTCCTGCAATATATTCAAGTTGTATTTAAATGTGTCTGTAGTTTGTCCTGCAATATATTCAAGTTGTATTTAAATCTCAGTCTGTAGTTTGTCCTGCAATATATTCAAGTTGTATTTAAATCTCAGTCTGTAGTTTGTCCTGCAATATATTCAAGTTGTATTTAAATCTCAGTCAGTAGTATGTCCTGCAATATATGCAAGTTGTATATAAATCTCAGTCTGTATTGTGTCCTGCAATATATTCAAGTTGCATTTAAATCTCAGTCTATAGTATGTCCTGCAATATATTCAAGTTGTGTTTAAATCCAAGTCTGTAGTATGTCCTGCAATATATTCAAGTTGTATATAAATCTCAGTCTGTATTGTGTCCTGCAATATATTCAAGTTGCATTTAAATCTCAGTCTATAGTATGTCCTGCAATATATTCAAGTTGTGTTTAAATCTAAGTCTGTAGTATGTCATGCAATATATTCAAGTTGTATTTAAATCTCAATCCTTAGTTTGTCCTGCAATATATTCAAGTTGTATTTAAATCTCACTGTAGTTTGTCCTGCAATATATTCAAGTTGTATTTAAATCTGTCTGTAGTCTGTCCTGCAATATATTCAAGTTGTATTTAAATTGTAGTCTGTAATATGTCCTGCAATATAAGCAAACTGTATTTAAATCTCAGTCTGTAGTATGTCCTGCAATATATTGAAGTTGTGTTTAAATCTCAGTCTGTAGTATGTCCTGCAATATATTGAAGTTGTGTTTAAATCTCAGTCTGTAGTATGTCCTGCAATATATTGAAGTTGTGTTTAAATCTCAGTCTGTAGTATGTCCTGCAATATATTCAAGTTGTATATAAATCTCAGTCTGTAGTATGTTCTGCAATCTATTCAAGTTGTATTTAAATCTCAGTCTGTAGTTTGTCCTGCAATATATTCAAGTTGTGTTTAAATCTCAGTCTGTAGTATGTCCTGCAATATATTCAAGTTGTATATAAATCTCAGTCTGTAGTATGCCCTGCAATATATTCAAGTTGCATATAAATCTCAGTCTGTAGTATGTCCTGCAATATATTCAAGTTGTATTTAAATCTCAGTCTGTAGTTTGTCCTGCAATATATTCAAGTTGTATTTAAATCTCACTCTGTAGTATTTCCTGCAATATATTCAAGTTGTATTTAAATCTCAGTCTGTAATATGTCCTGCAATATATTCAAGTTGTGTTTAAATCTCAGTCTGTAGCATATCCTGCAAACTAAAATAGAATCCCTGAATTAATTATGTAACCTGTGCTTGTTTTTCCAGAATTAGATAACATAATGAAGTATTGATCGAGTATCATGACAATAATTCATTTAGAGTATATCTAAGGAAGTTCTGTTTTTTTTGTGGAAATGTTTATTTTACAAAAAAACTGGAAATTTTATTTAACTGAAACATTTTTTTTGGTGTAACATAATGTGTAAGTAAATCTTAGAGCATTAATTGGTATAGTTTTCTGAACCTTATGTTATATCATATGTTATGTTATAACTATTCTTTAAAATATTTTTGATAATATTAGTGGTGAAAACTGGAGATAGAAGACTTTGCTTTCAGTTGTCAGAGTTTTTGCTTAACAAGAAATAATTATTATTGTAATTACCTAAGAGTAAGGGAAAATGGTTTTCTCGTATCTCACTCAGTATATAATTGAAGTTTATCTACAAGGGAGCAGAATTAGAGATAGCTTTTCATATTTCGATTTAGGAATACTTTGAAAAGAAAGTAGTTACAGAAATCATTTGACAGTCTGTGCTGCTAACTTCTCTCAAAAATATGTTATGTGAAACGTTATGACTGTAATGGGGGAAGTTGTACGATAAATAAGACTTATGGCTGATTTCAGTGCTTTGTAGGGCCATTAATTTTAAACTAGCTAATCTTAACGAGTTGAAATGCTGGGAATGTAAGAATGTAGGGCCATTAATTTTAAACTAGCTAATCTTAACGAGTTAAAAGGTCGGGAATGTAAAGAGGAGATAGGAGTTTAGCTTGATGGAGTTATTTAAAGATGCAGCCACTCTTATGTATTATGGAATATACATTGTGAGTTCCTCACTCTAGTAGATGTGTATGTGTAAATTGTACACTGGTTGATGGTAGCACGACATTGTCATTTCCTTTTTTCCTTTCCTGGGGTTGATAAGCTAGCTGTCCATGAAATGATCATAGCAATGTGATATTACCAATATCTAGGCCCCCATA